GCCCATTTTTGCAAAAAATGGACTGGTTTTTGCTCAATTTGGGGGTGGGGGGGGGGGCAGGCCCCAGCAGCACTCTATAAACCTCCTAAAGGCTAGGTATACCCATTTTTTTAAAAAAAAAATGGGCTGTTTTTGGGAGGTCTGCAGAGTGCAAAACCTTTTTTTTTTAATTTGCCTCTTCAAAATCTTGGTGCATCTTATACTCTGAAAAATACGGTACTTCTTATAGTCTCGCCTCCGATGAGGGAAAGAAGAAAAAAGCAGTGGGGAGGTATGGGAATTTAGACACGGGTGAACATCGTTTCATACAAACCTGATACATGAGGACTACGATTATGGGAAGTTCTGCTAAAACTTTCAAGGAAAGGGAGCCGCGAGGAATGACTGCGTGCTGGAAAAGGATTAGAAAAAACGGAATGGTCAATAGAATTCAAAGGACTTCAGACATAGTTCCTTTGTGATTATGTAGGGATTCTAGACTGATTCCTCTTTTAACTCCACCCTAGGTTCTCTTCTCATCTCTTCTCCTACACATTTCATTCCTCTTAGCGCCATTGTTGTGGCCCGCCAGTGTCCAGCAGAGCTGGCAGCAGAGTCGGACAGTGAGGAGGTTGGGGAGGAATATGGGCCAGTCCTGGGGGGCTGAGGAAAGCTCAGAGGTGGGCTCTGCATCACAGGGAGAGAGGGAGCTAGACAGCAGGAACAGCTGGAGCCTGTTCCCAGTGTGCGCATGCGCAGAGCTGCTAGAAGACAAGAACAACTAAGGAAGCAGGGTCGACTTAAGAGTAAAGCCACACCTTGGAGGTGATTGGCCCCTCCCATAGGAAACAAAAGAGGAACAAATGGGGAGCGGGCTTTTTAGGAAACAATTTGTTCATTTCAGTCTGGAAAGTTTTGTTTGGGATTATAGGAGACTCTGTGCCAAGTGTTGCCTTGCCCTGCATTTGGAAACTAGTTATCTGACTAAGCGAGATAAGGTGCGTGTGGATAAACATTCCTCTGAAAGACTGTTTACTAAGCCTTGCTTACTCTGAATGAAAGGAATTCACAGTTGTCGGGACCATGATTCTTGCTTTCTAAGGAAGCCTGGGTCAGAATACCCATCCCTCTCTCCCTGCCTTCCTTCCTTGCATTCCTTTCTTGCCAGGTGGCATAAGGCCAGGTTCACACAAGAAGGTCCAATTAAAGTGATCTATTGCTAAACAGCCTATGCACAGGAATCTTCTAAACTCATGGTCAGCACAAGCTTTGGAGACAGATAAATAATTCAGTAGCACTCAAGGGTGGTTAAGTCTTAGTTCGCTTGTGACCACGTAGGGATTCTAGGCTAATTCCTCGTTTGACTCTGCCCCCAGGTTCTGCCACTTCTCCAACAAAGACTGGTGTGGCACTCACCGATCTGGTTTCGCTGTCGTCCCTCTCCGGGTTTACTTTCACTACAATCGTCGTGATCAAGCCCACCATTTCTGGGGTAGGGATGGTGTTCTCGGGCACAACTTGAGGATTCTCAAAGTACCGATTCTATGGTTAAGAAACACAACCGAAGCGTCACTCGAGCTGCCGATCGCAGGATGCGATGCGTTAAGTTAAACTGGAACGGATGGGATTCCGGGATAAGGAATTTAGGAAAACCAGCCCCACCCTAAAGAAACCTTAGCGATTCACCGCTACTGGACGAAGACAAAGGATTTTCCAATGAAACTTTCATGCAGCATAGAAGAATAATATAAATGTCATCATCGTACGACCTACCACTACTTTTGGAAGCTCCTTGTAAATCTGTTTCACAAAATCCAAGAAATGATGAATCTGCAGGAAAAGGGGAAAGTGTCATGAGAAATTTGATTTCCAAATCTGAAATCATTCTAGCCTTGGAAGAAGTTGTTTTTCAGGAAACAACAACGGAATGAAAAACGGCTGGTAACCTTCTACCGCTGCACCGTAGAGAGTATTTTAACTTACTGCACCTGTGTCTGGTTTGCCAATTGCACAATGGCAGATAGGACAGCGCTCCAGAGGGTCAACGGTCAGTGCCCAGAGGATCATGGGTTGCCCCCTCCCCTCTTTGGAAGAGCTTTAGAGCTCCCTCTGCCTTAAGAAAGTTCAAAAAGATCCATCTCATCCTGGGCACCCCCTTTTTTTTTTAACTATTACCATCTGGCAGACGGTACAGGATAATAAAACCAAGGACAAATAGCTCAAAAACAGTTTCTATCCCAGGGCAGAAACTATATTGAATTCTACGGTATAGTGCAATATTAATGCAATATCAGGGGTTTTCAACTTCAATTATATAGAATGTGAAGGAGGTGTGTGTTGTGGCCCAGCAGGAGCCGTTGGAGCTGACACCAGACTCCGACAGCGAGGGGCCCTCTGAGTCGGCTCTGGAGGATGTGGAGGACCCTGGACAGGATTCCGACTCCGAGCAGGGGGCAGAGAGGCTGGTTGGCTACCAGGAGGCGCCTGAGCCTTGGACCAATGGGGAGGAGACAAGGGAGAGTGATCCGGACGCCAGCAGTGAGTTGTTGCTGGATGCCCGGCACCGGAGAGCTAATAGACGTCAGGAACAGTTGCGCAGTTACAGGAGGTAATTGCACTCAGCTGGTGGTCATTAGGCTCCTCTCCAGACTATAATAAGGACTGCTTGTACACACACACCCCTTGCAGAAGTCAACGCAGGAACAGTTGGAGAACAGAATTGTGAGCTTGGCAGGCTGGATTGCTGCCACGGCTTATCTGTGCTGGTTTGCTGCCAAGGACCTGTCTGTCTGTTAATAAATTCCGGAAAGTATCTTTGACTCGGAGTGTGTTGGTGTGGGAAGAGGGTGGTCAGAACAGTATGTTTGTGTTTTATTTTTATGGTTATAATG